GTGTGTGGGTGGGTGTGGGTGGGTATGTGTGTGGGTGGGTGTGGGTGGGTATGTGTGTGGGTGGGTGTGGGTGTGTGTGGGTGGGTGTGGGTGGGTGTGGGTGGGTGTGGGTGTGGGGTGTGAGTGTGGGTGGGGGTGGGGGTGTGAGTTATTCTTTTTCAATCACCCACACCCACACCCACACCCACACCCCACTCCCACACCCACACCCAACACCCACACCCCACTCCCACACCCACACCCAACACCCAACACCCACACCCCACACCCACACCCACACCCACACCCACACCCACACCCACACCCCACACCCCACACCCACACCCACACTCACACCCACACCCCACAATAGTCCCTAATATGCACACAAAAAGTTTGAATCACATCGTTCGTTAACACTCTCTTATAGCACGACTATAGCACACGCCATAACACAGTATACTTGTCTGAGTAGCAAATAAAGGTTTTATAAAGAATTTTTTGTTCAGATTATTGATATAAAGTCTATAATAGATACGCCGTAACTTGGTGTAAAATTAGTTTCTATATGCCTTATATTGCAAGAAAATGAAATTTTAAAAGATGGCACCTATGGGTACCATTTGGAAAGAAAGGGTTAAAAAAAGAAAATTCAAATATTGAAGATTTTTGTTTTCGAAAAGTTTTTCGATGTTAAAATCTTTTGATGAAAACTAGGAATACTTAACTATCATTATTGATAATAACTAAGAAATACTTAGGACAGTGCAAAAGTAGAAAGAGTGAGACTTTAATACCTTATAGTAAGCTAAAAAAAGTTTTCTTTTTATATGAGGTGATAGTAAAAACGATGCTCTATCTTTTGGTGATATTTAATTGTTCTTCAATTAATATCATAATAATAAAGTTTCAACAAGTAGCGCTCGTCGTTACGACTCGCTTAGCCCTCGACTGAATCCTGTCCATTCATTATCTATCATTACCTCCTAGATTTCATTGTGAAAACTATTGTTATATACACATACATGTATGAAAAAACCGTATACTATTGTAGGAGACAACCACTTTCTAAAAATATTTCGCTTTTCAATTTTCTCCTAGGATTTTCCAAATTTAACCGTAAGAGGCAGCTCACAGTTAGTCGCCGGTGTCAATACGAGCCACCACTCGCGACTACTCGCTTTCGCATATGACACCGGTATGGTTTTAAACAGTCCTTCACTTTCTTCTTAATCCTTTCGTTCTGTGTTTTTTTGACTAATTGTTAATGTTCCTAACCATTGCGCACAGTAACGTACATTTCACTCGCATTTTTCTGCAAGACCTTTTCCCGTCTGAAGCTACAACGTCAGCCCTTTGTCTGTCATTATCGCTATTCTTGGTTCGTAACTCCTTATTCCAGTCCATTTATCGAGGATCAAAATTCATGTTACCGCACTGAGTTTTTCGCAGTTTTCAGACACTTTCAACCGGTGAGATTCGATCAATGAGCAATTTTATATAAATTCCACCGGCCCAAGGTGTACCTTCGGCGAACCCGCCAGATCACGGGCTAGTCGTTCGTCGGCGCCCTTTAGAGCGCCACTCATGGCTAGCCGGTTTCATGTTTAAACCAAGATTCCCAGTAAATCACCCTCTTTCCTTCGCATTCTAGTCGGGTCACGTTTGGCTTACTGTAAAACACTGTTGTTTTTATAACAAAAAAATTCTAGGTGAGAAGTGCCAAAAACCATAGTTTCTTGAAATGTGTTCCTTACAGTTTTAATTGCCAGAGCTTTTGAAAAATCGATCTTCTACAAGGCATAGCTACCTGTGAACAAAAAAGAAAGGAAACTTCTAGATCGCTATAAGTAGTGACGTAACCAGGGGTGGGCATGCCCGGACGCCGCCCGGGCACCGACCGTTTTTGCCCGGGCACCGGAAAAATTTTGAAATCTAATAGTTACCATTGAAATGTTTGTCGTCTATTTATTGTATAGACAATAGCTGTGAAAAGCAGTTAGTGACACCTGTAGGATAAAGTGCAGACATACTGATGAGTAAGAAATATCAGTTGCTTGTTTACTTTTCGTTTCTGTATATATATCAGATAATAAAATAGCCAATTGATTACTTCATAAATAGGGTATCAAAAACCAGTTTATTTAATTTTGAAATGGAGAAAAATTCTAAAGAGCCTAAACGTGGAACTATTCAGTCATTTTTTAGTTCACAGACTACAAAAAAGAAAAAATGTGATGCTTCTTTAATCTCAAGTGAGTTAATAGTCAATCAAACAGTTTAGATTAGCACATCATAGTCTACAGGTGAACAACAACAAGAATCAATTTCTTCATCTTCTTCAAATGATCAACAACGAAGACAAATTCATTCATTTTCTACAAGTGAACAACAATCATCATTTTCATCTTTTTCAACTAATGAACAACGTGAACAAATTCATTCATTTCATATAGGTGAACAACAGAAATCAGCTTCAAATAATTAACAACGAAGACAAATGCATTAATTTTTTTTACAGGTGAACAACAGGAATTATCTTCATCTTCTTCAAATAATCGACAACAAAAAAAAATTAATTCATTTTCTACAAGTGAACAACAACCATCATTTTCATCTTTTTCAACTAATGAACAACGTGAACAAATTCATTCATTTCCTATAGGTGAACAACAGAAATCAGCTTCAAATAATTACCAACAAAGACAAATGCATTAATTTTTTTTATAGGTGAACAACAGGAATTATCTTCTTCATCTTCTTCAAATAATCGACAACAAAAACAAATTCATTCATTTTCTACAAGTGAACAACAACTATCATCGTCAACCTTTTCAAGTAATCAACAACGTGAACAAATTCATTCATTTCCTATAGGTGAACAACAAGAATCATCTTCAAATAATCAACCATGAAAACAAATGCATTTTTTTTTTTACAGGTGAACAACAGGAATTATGTTCTTCATCTTCTTCAAATAATCAACAACAAAAACAAATTGATTCATCTTCATCAGAATCTTTTCTATTTATTTCTTCATCATCAAATACACCAGTTTCAAATATTACTGATATTAGTCGTTCATCTGACGAATTACCCGCACGACCAATACTTGCTTCTTATCCATTAAATAAAGAAAAAAAAGATCTTTTCGTAGTCAATGGTTTTCACAATTTAGTTGGTTGGAATATTCAGAACTAACAGATTCAGCCTATTGTTATTATTGTAGGCACTTTGGCACTGGAATAAATTTAACTAGTCGAGTAATCAATTTTTGTCTAATGCATAGATTTCTTTTTCAACACTCGATTCCTTTTCTTTCTCTTTTCTATCTGCTATGATAGAGTTGATCTTCTTTTTAACTAATGTTTAGAATCAAAGTGATTCATTTGTGCGTGGTTTTAATAGCTGGAAACGTGCTTTCTGTGCTAATCAAGGATTTCTAAATCATCAAAATACTCAATCTCATAAATTAGCTGAAATTAATTACAAACAATATATTGCACGTACATCATCTGGAACAACTGTTTCACAAGTAATGAATAAATCAAGAAATGAATTAATAAAACGTAATCGTGAAAAATTAATTAAAATCGCCTCGACATTGCATTTATGTGCTCGACAAATGATTGGAATACGGGGACACGAAGAAGGGGAATCGTACGTGTGTTCTAAGGAATAAACTGGGTGAATCCATGGAAAATGTATCACATTTTGGAAAAGTGTTTTTTTTTGTGTACTCAAAAAGTGAGTACACTACTAAAATCGGTCAGTGTGTCCGGCCGGCCGTCCGTCCGTCCGTTTATTTCATAACTTTTGAAAGGGGAGTCAGATCGCGATGAGATTTTCTACACAGTTCAGTCCTAACAATATCTCGGTCGATTTCGAAGATGAGAAGGATTGGCCGAGCCATTCCTGAGTTATTGCAAAAATACTCATTTTTCCCTATACATTCCCTATGGAAAGATTGAGCCATCCCCACTTTCGTAAACAACTTTTCCTATTCTGGTCAACTAAAACCCCAACTATTATATACCATTCGATAGAGAATTTCAAGAGCTACAAAATGGTGTATAAAACATAAAGAAACAAGTAGGCTGACTCACCTATCACAAAGATAATTAAAGAGAACTAGGTTATATTTTTGTCCACGATCTAATTGATCCACAATTCGAGCTCTATCTTCCGATCACAGTGATGATGTTTCGAGGTTTTCTGAGGTGGAGAACTCGAATCTGTATTCCACTCCCATCGAAATACTATTGGTTGAGCAGTGACCAATAGAAATCAAGTTATAGGAAAAACGACTTTCTTAGGGTAAATCAAGGGGAAGAGTTCAAATTTGAGCTGTAGTCGGTCCCAAGTCCTATTGGTTTGGCAATACCCAACAGAAATCAACAGTTTAGAGGGTAGGTTCCCCAATATAATTTTGATATCCACACATTCTAGGATGGCTAATTCGTCTGATTCACTTTTTTTATCTACCACATATATCGCTATAGTCAGTTTTATCAGAGCAACCAGGTCCTGAAATACTATACTATGGGGGTACCCTTGGGTCCTCATATGCCATACTATGGGAGTACCCT